CATCTCAGACGATATACCGGAAACCCAGGCGATGACTGGGCCACATGAGGGATGGCAGCCAGCCATCTGTGGAATGCCGCCTCCCATTCGTCCATGATGTCTTGGTCCGGCCACGGAGGGCCTGGGGCAACAGCAGGACAATGCAAGATCACAGGTGGGCAGGGGGAGGCCGGGTGAGGGTCTGAAGGTGCCGGGGAGGTCGGTAGGGGGAGGCAGGAAAGGGGGGAGAGGGAAAGGGGCCACACGGGGCTGGGCAGATGGAAGACTAGTGGGGTCCTCGCCCAGGGTGGGCAGTGGGCAGCAGGCAACACCTGACCACCACCACCACCACCCCAGCTCCCGCAGTGGTGGGGAAGGGAGGCCTGCCACGCCATACACATCCTGAGATGCACCGGAGGCACCTGGTAGTCGGTGAGTGATGGGGGTGGACCCCAGCACTGAAGACAGGGTGTGGCCCCCGACTCTCAAAACACCAGTTCCACATAACAACCTGGTGTTTGGAACCTAACCATGTCAATAAGTGAGGGGTGGGTGTATATACTGAAGGCAGACCATACCCCCAAAATAACTTCTCTTTTAATTGATTGGCTACTTGCATCAGATCACAAAATGGAAAATGATTACATTATGGAAGGGCACATGCCAAACCACTGAGAATCACAGCCTAGCCAAGTTGCCATATAACATTAACCATCACAGGGATCCAGGAGCCACCCGATGTGCCAGCACCCCAGACAGAGTTGTGTGTCTCCACGTATATCCTGACGCATTTCATAGAATGTCAGCCTGGAAAGGCCAGTGGTTGCACAGCTCCCCCGTGCTTTAACAGATTCTGCTTAGTTGAATCCTCACTGCATCCCATATTTCAGAAGAAAAGAGTGAGGCTCAGAGAAGCCATGTAACCAGCCTTCAAATCTCACAGCTAATATATAGCTAACATATATCTGAGCTGGATATATATTTATTATTTTTTAAAATAATAATTTTACAATGAATGTGTTTTCAGTGGAAGTTTATACAGCAAATTAGGTGTATTTTGCCAGCTGCAGCCTTGGGCCCATTGATCTGGCCTGAACTCACTACTTCTTTTGGCCTCAGCGCCTTGGTCAGGCTGGTGGTTAATGGGGGAAATCCTTTTCTCAGGACGTTGGGAGAAGCCACAGTCATTGATAATGGAGATTAGACACTAGAACAGGCCAAAGGTGATGAAAAGCCTGGAGGAAAAAACGCCCTTCTTGTATATAAACGTACCCAAGCCCGACCATTTGCCAGGACTTCTTACCTTGACACAGACGGGAACACAAATAAAAGCTTCAAGTCATAGGAAATGTGTGACTATATTTTAATAAAGTCTGGAATCCTAGGCCTCAAATTATTCCTCAAAAAAATCCAGTAAAGATACACATTTGGCTTCAAACAGATTCACTTATCCCCACATATATTTTTACGTGTCCCAAAGGTTTCATGTTTACTGAGGGAAGGTGAGGAGAGAGAGAGGCAAACTAAGTTTCTAAGATAAATAGAGTTGAAGACTACATGAGAGTCGATGGGAAATTTTCAAATTGAACTACACATCCACAATGTGGCTACAAAACGTGTCCTTCTTATCTGCCATCACAGTAACCTGAAATATAAAGGGGGAAAGCCATTAATGATAGAAAGATGGGCCCAGGGCATAATGTAGATAATGAATATCATGTCCTTAGAACTCAGCTTCACTGAAACATGTCATGGATTGAATTAGGTCTAAGACAGAATTTGGTACTAGGAGTGAGGTGCCTCTGGGCACTTATCGGTGGAGCTAAGCTTGCTGACCCACAGAGCAAGAGAGCTGAGTGCCTGTGTGCAGGAGGCTTCCTGAGGGAGTGGGGTGCCTCTAGGCATTTATTGGCGGAGCTACAGAGCTTGGGAACACTTGCCCCAGCAGGGCAGATGCAGGCGTTAGGCCAAGGAGCTGAGAAGCCATAGGAAGCGGAAGCTGAAGAGACAAGGAACACAAGAAGCCAAGTTGCCTCAGTCTCAAAAGGTATGGCTATGACCTCAGGGGTTTCAAGGGAGGAGCCATGGCCTCTGGTGTTTCTAAGGGTGGAGTCGCTACTTGGACGAACTAGAAGAATGGTGCGCCTAAACCTGAGGAAGCAAAGTTCCTGCCCCAGTGGGCCTGGAGGCAGAATTGAAGCCCGGGGCCAAGAAGTGTGGCCAATACCTAGAGTCTGGAGGGCAGGGCTATTATATAAATGGTCTCACAGAACAGAGGATTATTTTCAAAGCCTTGAGGGCTAATGTCATGTGTTCTACTGACTTGCTTGGCGCCTGTTAGGCCTTCTTTCCCCCCAGTTTCTCCCATTTGTAATGGAAACGTCTAGTTTTTGCCTGACCTGTCACAGTACCTTTGGAAACAGATAACTTGTATTCTAGATTTCACAGAGGAAGAGGAATTTTCGGATTTTGGACTTGGAGTTAAGACTTCTGCTATGATATGATGGATGAGTATGTTTTGCATGTTATAAGGATGTGATTTTTTGGGGGCCAAAGGATGGAATGTCATGGATTGAATTATGTCCCCCCCAAAAAAATGTGTGTATCAATTTGGCTAGGCCATGATTCCCAGTATTGTGTGGTTGTCCTCCATTTTGTGATTGTAATTTTATGTTAAAGAGGATTAGAGTGGGATTGTAACACCTTTACTGAGGTCACATGCCTGATCTAATGTAAAGGGAGTTTTCCTGGGGTGTGGCCTGTAACACCATTTATCTACAAGAGATAAAAGGAAAGGGAAGCA